TCTCACTGTTGTGGCCTCTCCCGTTGCAGAGCACAGGCTCCGGACGCGCAGGCTCAGCGGCCATGGCCCACGGGCCCAGCTGCTCCGCGGCATGTGGGATCCTCCCGGACCGGGGCACGAACCCTTGTCCCCTGCATCGGCAGGTGTACTCTCAACCACTGCGCCACCAGGGAAGCCCCTTTTTGCATTTTTTAAAACGTCTTTATTGGAGTACAATTGCTTTACAATGGTGTGTTAGTTTCTGCTTTATGACAAAGTGAATCAGCTATACATATACATATATCCCCATATCCCCTCCCTCTTGTGTCTCCCTCCCACCCTCCCTATCCCACCCCTCTAGGTAGTCACAAAGCACCAAGCTGATCTCCCCGTGCGATGCGGCTGCTTCCCACTAGCTGTCTAGTTTACATTTCCTTGTCTTCTATGGAATGATTGGGACCAAGATTTTCAGTAAAATTAACATCTAGAAAAGCAGAAACTGGCAGTTCATTATCACGATTTTATTAAAAGTATATAATGATGTTCTCTGTGGATAACGGCTGGAGGTGAAACTCACCAGTGGTGCCTATTTTCTTCCTCAGTAGTGAATTCGGATTAACCAGGGGTCACTGACACTTTCATAAACACAGGAATCTCCCAAAGCTCCTTTCATGCAACTTTGTGAATTTTGCATTTCCAGTAAAATAGTCATCGCTTAGCTGGCTACCTTATTGTGAAACTAAAAAATAAGAATATGTGGTGACGGTTGCACCACAATGTGAATGTACTTAATACCGCTGAACTGCACACCTAAAAATGCGCAAGATGGTACATTTTATGTTATGTGTATCTTACCACAATTTAAAATTTTTTAAATAAAAATGTGAAAGCACTTAATAAAATGTAAAGTGCAGTTCAAACGTGAGGTTCAGGGGCTTCCCTGGTGGCGCAGTGGTTGAGAGTCCGCCTGCCGATGCAGGGGACATGGGTTCGTGCCCCGGTCCGGGAAGATCCCACATGCCGCGGAGCGGCTGGGCCCGTGAGCCATGGCCGCTGAGCCTGCGCGTCGGGAGCCTGTGCTCAGCAACGGGGAGAGGCCACAACAGTGAGAGGCCCGCGTACCACAAAAAAAAAACACAAAAAAACGTGAGGTTCAGTGTAATGGAGAGGGTCAACCAAAACAGTGCTGCTGGTATTTATATCATGAGCACTATGGGCGGCCATCTGGTTAGAATCTATGTCCTCCCATAACCTCAAAGCTTCCTGAGGGTGGGACCACGTCACCTTGGTTGGCCTTCATAACCCTGGCACTTGGCACAAGTATTCATTAAATAAATGCCTCCTTCTAGTCTATTCCTTTTATCATTCCTGGCAACTTTCCAGTAAGACCAAGACCATTCCATGCATTCATTCTATGGACATTCCTGGAGGGCTTGTGAAGTGCCTGGTGCCGTGCTGGGTGCAGGGGTCCAGGAACAGGGTACATCTTCTGCCTTCACGGACCCGAGGTCTAGTGAGGGAGGAAGATTGAATGAGAATCTTTGCAGTGGATGTGACAAGAGCCATCATGGAGACATGAACTCAGTCTTGGAAGGTCAGGAAACAGTTCCCCAAAGCAGTGACATCTTAGCTGGGTATCAAAGGAGTCAGAGGAATTTCCTGGGGTGGCACAGAAGGCAGAGGGAATGGCAGCAACACAGGCAGAGATGCCAGAAAGAGCCCAGCGTTTCCAGAAAGGTGGAGGTGAGAGGGTCCAAATGTTGGAGGGGTCTCAAGGGCAGACTAAGGGGGAGTGAGGTCTGACCTTCATCTTTCAGGTCATAGGGAGCCACTGAAGGCTTCAGGACAGAGGAGAGACGTGGTCAGATCTGAGTTTCAGCAAGATCTCTCCAGGGCGGTCAGGTGGATGCATTGGAGGAGGGAGACAGGAGGTGGGGAGGCCAGGGAGGAGGCTGTGACTAAAGTCTAGGTGAAAATGTTTATACGGTTGTCCACAGACTGCATACAAAACAGTAACTTCACAGTGGAGAAGCCTGGAGGCTCCCTTAACCAAGGGAGCAGTTAACATCTCCAACAATGAGACAGATCAACACATGCTTCCAGATAACAAGGCCGTAAGGAGGATACAACATTACTCCTGGGCCATTCCCGCCAAAAAAGGCACAACCTGAGTGTAATTGAACAGAAATAGAAGACAAACAAAACTGAAGGATGTTCTAGGAAATTGGCCTGTAATCTTAAGGTCAAGAAATTTAAGGAAAGACTAAAAACTGTTCTAGAATGAAGGAGGCTAAAGAGGTATGGTAACTGGGACTTCCCTGGTAGCGAAGTGGTTAAGAATCTGCCTGCCAATTCAGGGGACGTGGGTTCGAGCCCTGGTCTGGGAAGATCCCACGTCGCGGAGCAACTAAGCCTGTGGGCCACAAATACTGAGCCTGCTCTCTAGAGCCCATGAGCCACAACTACTGAGCCCACACACCAAAACTACTGAGGCTGCACTCTACAGCCCACAGGCCACAACTACTGAGCCCGCGTGCCACAACTACTGAAGCCCATGGGCTTAGAGCCCGTGCTCTGCAGAAAGAGAAGGCATTGCAATAAGAAGCGCATGCACCGCAGCGAAGATCAGCCCCTGCTCGCCGCAACTAGAGAAAAGCCTGCGTGTAGCAATGAAGACCCAATGCAGCCAAAAATAAATGAATTAATTTAATTAAATTACTTAAAATAAAAAAAATAAATAAAATAAAGAGATACGGTAACTAAACCTGACACATGGACCTGGATTGGATCCTAGACAAGAATACAAAAAGCTGTCATTACACAAGTGACAAAATTTGAATATGGATTATGGATAAGATAACAGTATTGGATTAATGTTAAATGTCCTCATTTTGATAACTGAACTGCTGTCATGTAAAAGAATGTCCACGATCATAGGAAATACACACAGAAGTATTTAAGGGAAGAGATTACAATGTCTCCAACTTACTCTCAAATAATTTAAAAAACATGCACTATGCAAAAATGTATATACATACACACACACAGAGAAAATTATAAATATATTTATATATACACATAAAGAAGAAATGACAAAACATATGGTGATTTAAACGATAAACAATTAAGTGGATCTGGGTAAAAGATATACAGAAGTCCCTTAGACTATTCTGACAATTTTTCTGTAAATTTGAAATTATATCAAAATAAAAGATTATCTTCCTCAAAATGTTAAACATAGAATTACCATATGACCCAGCAATCCCATTACTATATACCCAAGAGAAATATATCCACACAAAAATGTTGATAGCAGCATTATTCACAATAGCCAAAAAGTAAAAACAACTTAAATGTCCATCAACTGATGAATGGAAAATTAAATGTGGTATGTTCATACAATGGAATCTTATTTGGTAATAAAGGGGAATGAAGTTCTGATACACGCTATAATGTGGATGAGCCTTGAAAATATTATGCTAAGTGAATAAACCAGGCATAAAAGAAATGTTGTATGATTCCATTTATAAGAAATGTATAGAATATGAAAATCCATAGAGACAGAAATTAAATTAGTGGTTGTCAGAAGCTGCAGGCATTGACAGGATATAAGGAGTGACTGATTTGGGGGGTGATGAAAATGTTTTACAATCAACCATGGTGATGGTTGTACACGTTTGTGAATATACTGAAAACCATTGAATTGTACCTGTAAATGGGTGAGTTGTATAGTATTTGAATTATATCTCATGAAAACAGCTACTTTAAAAATAAAATGCTACCAAAAAATGAAAACTATAATAAATGAAAAAGCCCAGACAAGTCTGAGCCAAGGGAGCTGCTGGGGGACAGGGACCCCACACCTCCAGGCATCATGGTCATTCAGCTCCTGACGCTCACAGACTACTTGGGGGCCCCTCAGACGCCCACCCCGCTGGCTGTCTTGGTCTCTCTTTGACCAGTAATGCCGTGTCCTTCCTCTCTCCCTTCAGCCTGGGTGAAGGTGAAGCCCCTTCCAATGAAGACTCTCCCTTGCCAAGCCCACCCAGGCTGGCAGCCCAGCACCGCCTCTGAGCAACCAGCCATGACCCCAGGGCCTGTCTGCGGCCACACTCACCTCCGGCTGAAGGCCAGGTCCATGACCCTCCGCTGTTTGTGCCAGCGTTCATAGTCACATTCGGACACTAAGCCTTGGCCAAACAGCCTGCGGAAGAGACAAACGCTTGATGTGAGAAACGGGGTGAAGGAATGAGAATTGGCTGCCTGACGGGGTCGGGTCACCTTTTGGGGTGATGAAGATGTTCTAGAACCAGACAATGGTGATGGTTGCATCACATGGTGAATGTAACAATGCCACTGAATTGTAATTCCAATGCGGTTAAAACGGTGAATTTTATGTGATGTGAATTTTACCATAATACATACATACATACATAAGGGTGATTGTGTGCCCCAACCTCAGTGACCCCTGCATTCCCACCTGCCATCCGGAGGGGAAAGGGCGAGAAGGAAGGTGCTGGTGACAAGAGCGGTGACCACCACGGATGGCCCCTGTTGTGCGCTCGGCAGCCAGGGTATTGGGACTTAATGCTACATCCAAAACTCTGGACCCTGTGAACCCTCCACTTGCAGCCAGAGGCTCTCCTGGCCTCGCCCCAGACACCTCCTCGCATCTTACCTCTCACCAAACACAGTCTGGATCGCGTGGTACATCTTGGAGTCCTTGTTGTACTTGGTTGACATCAGGAACTTCTAAACATCCCCAGAAAAACAACATGAGCTTGTGCACCCATGAGAGGCTGCAGAAGAGTCAGCAGTTTTCTTGTCTCTTACGAAACACCCTCCAAATAATCACCCTGAGCTGAGGGCCAGCTACGGCGTGAACGCCCATATGAGTGATCTCACCTACTCCCTCCGGAAGTCCTGTCTTTCAGGGATGAGGAAAGCGGGGCACAGAGCGGTGAAGTGATTTTTTCCTGTGGTCACACAGCTGGGGACTGATGCAGGGTGGCTTCCTCACTCCAATGCCCACACTCAGGAGCCCACACCACGCCACCTTCCAAAGTGGCAACAAGAAAAGGCCTGGGCTGCTCTGAAACCAGAGTGGGGAAGGGGAGAAGCCTGGTGGGAGGGCTCCTAGGACACAGGAGAGACACTCAGCACAGATTCAGTGTTGTTAGTGCCAACCCAGCCGTGGAAGTCAAGGAAGGCTTCCTGGAGGAAGGGTCCACTTCCTCACCAAGAGCAGGAGGGTAGCAACAGTAACATTAGCTAGCAGATTTTGAGGCAGCACAGCCCAGGCTGTGGGTTCCACTGGCTTAAATCTGAATCTGGTTCAAATATTTCACTCCACCACCTGCCAACTCTATGACCCTGGGTGAGTTACTCACCTCCTCTGCCCCTGTTTCCTTATTTTACAAGATGGGATTCGGGAGAGTACCTGCCTGGTAGGGTTGCTGTGAAGAGAAAATTATTTCTACGTGAAAAGTGCAGAGAATGGCACCTGGCACACAGCAGGTGCTCCATGAATGCCAAATGCACACCAGCGCCCTAGAGCTCATTTAATGCCCAATCAACCCTAAGACGTGGGTGGTATTTTTATGCTCATCGTACATCTAGGTGAAAAACGGAAGTTTAAAACTGGCCCAGGGTCACCACATGGTAAATGGTGGCCATAGGATTTGAATCCAGGCAATTTGCTGGGGGGGCGAGGGGAGAGAAAGCTGTGATACAGGCAGGAGAACCCCTGTCACATGGTGGTGCATTCAGGCAGAGGAGTGGAGGTGTGGAGGCGGGGGATGGGCAGCAGCAGGGGGGTTGGAGAGGCTGCTGGGCCAGACCCCCGAAGCCTGCCCTGCGGGACGCTTGGCTTTACCCTGTGGGCACTGGGACACAGTGAGGTGACATCTCTGCTATCCATTAAACCCAGGGGCTGCTGGTGACTGTGGACTTAGCTCCTGGGAATCTAAGCCAAATTTTCAGCTCAAAGGAAACCCCAGAAATGTTGACTTCAGCTCACAAGCCACATCCCGGGGACCCCACCCCTACCCCCAAACTGTCATTTGTAAACCAAGTTCTGTCACTACCCTACGTCTGCTGGTTTCCTCTTCTGCAAAAAGACCTTGGCAGTAAAGGCCCACCTCCCAGGCCCTACTCAAATACCTCTGGGTAGTCCAAGGCCTGTGCCAGCCCTTCCCCACCTGAACTGAGGCACACCCCCTGAGGCAGAACAGCCTCAGCACAGTCTCTGACCAGGGTCCCCACAGCCTGCTGTCTCTGGAACCACAGATCCTTTGTTTGGCCCAGTGAGCTGGGCTCTGGGACATGAGGGATGCACAGGGAACCCCCAGCACCTTGCTGCCTTCTGTTGCCCATTCTGACAGTGCACTTCTGCCCATGGAGGAGTAACTGCTAGGCACTTTCCCTTCGGCCATAAACAGCCAGAAAAATAAGCAAAAATTATGCAATGTCTGCTTTTAGACAGTGGGCAGTGAACCATGACAGAAGGAAAAGGGAAAAAAAAAAAAAAAAAAAAAAAACAAGAGCCCTACAATATGGGAGCCCTACAGCTTTCGGCCCAGAGGCAATTTTAGGACAAAGGCACTTAAAGAATAAACTCAAATACAGCCCAGCAGGCTTTCCAAATTGGTAAGACAGAGGTCAGAGTCCAGGCAGGCCAGAAAAGCCTAGAATTTGTAGGGCAGAGGACTCAAGAGGAGGGAGCTATGCAGAGAAGGAGGTCCCGTGCAGAAATCTGCACAGGGATCCCCTGTATCTTTGTATAACTACCAATCTGGGCATGTGTAGAGTGAAACTCCACAAGACCGGGTAAAAAACTTCTGGGGAAAGGAGAGTTACTGGGTAACTATAGGCTAAACAATTCTCAGAGCTCAAACAAGCTCAGAATTGTTCAAGTCCCCATTGGCCACAGTTAAACCTCAGACACAAGGCCTTTATTAGAGTCCTCAGAAGGGTTACTCCTTAGTCGTGGGGCTAAACTAGCTCTAGAGTAAAAGCCTACACTTGATCAACCCTCAAAAGCCTTAAAGTAACCTGGAGAGGATCCAAGTGATCTGCCAGAATGAAGTCCAGCACTCTTTAAAGGAGTAAAACAGAACTGAGCACTCAGCAATGTACAAGTCACAATGTCCATTGTGCAGCATAAAATCACTAGACGTGCCAAAGAGCAGGAAAATCTGACCTATAACCAAGTCTAGAAATAATGGAGATGACGGAATTCACAGACAAGAACTTTAACACATTTATTACAATTTTACAAATATGCTCAAGGAACCCACATATCCAAGAAGTTCAAAGAATCCTACATAGAATTAACACAAAGAAAGGCACACCAAGGTGGATCATAATCAAATTTCTGAGCCCAGTGATAAAGAGAAAGTCTTAAAAGTAAACAGAGATGAAGTGATATAATATTATTTGAAGATAGATTGATATAAGTTAAAGATTATCCTATGAATCCTAGGACAACCACAAAGAGAGAGAAAGAGGCTAATAAGACAATAGTGGATATAAAATGGAATACTAAAACATACTCAATCTAAAAGGCAGGAAAGGAGGAAAAGGGAACAAAAAACAGGTGGATCAAATAGAAAACAAACAACAGCATGGTATATTTAAACTTAACCACATCAATAATTACATTAAATGTAAATGACCTAAGCACTCCAATTAAAAGGCAGAGATTTTCAGATTGACTGAAACAGCAAAACTCCACTATATGCTATCTATAAGAAACCCACTTGAAATATAAAATTCCAGATAGGTTAAAAGTAAAAGGATAGGGCTTCCCTAGTGGCACAGTGGTTAAGGGTGCACCTGCCAATTCAAGGGATGGGGGTTCGAGCCCTGGTCCGGGAGGATCCCACATGCCATGGAGCAACTAAGCAACTAAATAGTTGTGTGCCACAACTACTGAGCCTGCGGTCTAGAGCCCATGAGCCAGAACTGCTGAGCCTGCATGCCACAACTACTGAATCCCGCATGCCTAGAGCCTGTGCTCTGCAACAAGAGAAGCCACCACAATAAGCACACACACCTCAATGAAGAGTAGCCCCCACTTGCTGCAACTAGAGAAAACCCACATGCAGCAACAAAGATCCAGCACAGCCAAGAATAAATAAGTGAAATAAATTTTAAAAAATAAATAATAATAATAATAAAAAGTAAAAGGATAGAGGGAATTCCCTGGCAGTCCAGTGGTTAGGACTCTGTGCTTCCACTGTAGGGGGCATGGGTTCGATCCCTGGTCAGGGAACTAACATCCTGCATGCCACATGGCATGGCCAAAAAGAAAGGAAAAGGATAGAAAAAGATATGCCATGAAACACTAAACATAAGACAGCTGGAGTGGCTATATTAATACCAAACAAAATATACTTCACGAAGTAGAATACTACCAAGGAAAAAGGGGAAATTTCTAAAGATAAAGGGATCAATTCATCACAAAGATATAACTTTGCTTAATGTGTACACACCTGGTAACTCAACTTCAAAATACATGAATCAAAATTGATAGAACTGAGAGTAAAAATAGACAATTCCATGATGGGGTTAGAGAGTTTAACACTCCTCTCTCAGTAGAGAGTAATTTACTTTCTGCATGCTAGAACGTGTAGAAAGTAAATTAGTAATGATTTAGAAGATTCAAACAACACTATCAACCAACTTCACCTAACTGACATTTCTAAAACACTCCAACAATTACAGAACATATGTTTTTTTTTTAAGTGCTCACAAACGTTCACAAATATAGACCATATACTAGGCCATACAACAAGCTTCAATTAATTTTAAAGGATTGAAATCATGAAGAACACTTCCTCTGACCTTACAGAATTAAATTAGAAATCAATAAAAGAAAAATATCTGGAACATCTTATAATACTTAGAAATTGAATAACACACGTTTAAATAATCCATGGTTCAAAGAAGTAATCACAAGGGAATTAAGAAATTATTTTAAACTGAATGAAAATAAAAGCACAACATATTGAAATGTGTGGTATATTTATGCTAAAGTAGGGCTTACAGGGAAACGTAAAGCTTTAAATGCCTATATTAGAAAGGAAACAAAATCTAAAATCAATTATCTAAGCTATCACCTTAAAAAATTAGAACAAGAACAAACTGAAAGTGAGTAGAGGAAGGAAATAAAAAGGAGCAGAAATTGGGGCTTCCCTGGTGGCGCAGTGGTTGAGAGTCTGCCTGCCGATGCAGGGGATGCAGGTTCGTGCCCTGGCCCGGGAGGATCCCATGTGCCGCGGAGCGGCTGGGCCCGTGAGCCATGGCCGCTGGGCCTGCGCGTCCGGAGCCTGTGCTCCGCAACGGGAGAGGCCACAACAGTGAGGCCCGCGTACCACAAAAAAAAAAAAAAAAGAGCAGAAATCAATAAAATAGGAAACAAACAATGGAGAAAACCAATAAACCAAAGGTGAGTCTTTGAAAAGATGAATATGATTGAAAAACCTCTTGCCAGCTTGTTCAATAAGATAAAAGAAAACCCAAATTACTGTTCTCAGGAACGAAAGAGGGGACATTTCCAGAGATCCAGTAGACATGATAAAGATAATAAATAAATATTGTGGACAACTTTTTATCAGTAATTTCAACAATTTAGGAGAAATTCCTTGAAAGATACAAAACTCAAGAAAAAATAGAAAATCTTAATAGCCATATATCAACTTTAAAAATTGACTGCATAACTTAAAGAAAACAAAAACACTTCCCTCAAAGAAAATGCCAAGCCCAGATGGCTTCACTGGTAAATTCTATCAAACATTAAAGGAAGAAATAACACTACTCCTATACAAACTCTTTCAGAAAACAGAGGAGAGGGAACATTTCCCAACTCATCTTATGAGGCCTATTAACCTGATCCCAAAGCCAGGGATCAAGAGAAGAAAAAATATAGAAACAAAAATTCTTAACAAAAGATGAGCAAATCGTATCCATGTATCCAGGAACAAATTGTATTATGACCAGGAAGTGCTGATTTAACACTTAAATGCTAAGCAATGTAATTCATCATATTAATATATGTCTTTCAAGTTCTTATCTCATTGAGCATCGTGAAGGTCTTGTGTATGGTTTTTGGTAGCATGCTTTAAAAAGTCTTAAGGCATGTGTCTGTATTTGCAATGAAACTTTTTAAAAATAAAATGACTTTTAACATCCTGTTAGAGACACCATGGTCATTCAACTTGTCTTGTGATCTAGACCCCAAGCTGTATTTTATCCCCCTTAGTGTCACCACAGCCACTGCCTAAGCAGAGCATCATCCCCGCACATCAGCTCAGTACCCACCGTGAGAATCACAGCACAATCATTTATTGAGCACTTGCTGTGTGCCATACACGGGCTAGATGGTTCACACACATTATTTCAGTTCCATTCTTTTTTAAATTTTATTT